GGGTTTAGTATAAATAGCCATATTATTTTCATTGTAAAGCAGACGACCTTTGAGATATGAACTAATGGAGGCACGTTTGCTTTCTTCTTGTTCTTCAAGAACAAATCTATCGAACTTATCGGGTTAATTTTCATGGCATTTACCAAATCAAAGTGAGATTCGTGGCTTGTGTAATCACGAGGTCAAGGTATTCTTGTAATTGCTTTGATTTCTTAATTCATTTAATTTTCAAGTCAAACTTTAAATTATTTAGATTTTAGTTTATTAATTGTGTGATTAAAAGGTTTACATGTTATATTGGCTGTTTGGGTTGTTTAATCCATTATTTTGAGTCAAATTCCATAAAGCTTTCTTGTTTGGAACTTTCCTGGGTTTGAATCAATATCGTTGTGGGTTCGTGAGTGATTATTGCTCATGGGTTCACATAATTTGGTATCAGAGCTTGGGCTCCAACAAATTAAGGCTATATCCTTCTTAATTTTGTTCGAGTCTTTGCGTTTAATTTTTCGCATTTTTTGTTGTTGAAATTTTACAGTAAAGTAAAAAAAGTTTTTTTTACTATACCAAGGGTACTGTTCATAGTTTAAAAAAATTATATTTTTTTACTGTTCATCCAGATTTTTTTTTAAAAAATTATTATTTATTCCAAAATTATCTTGAGTCTTTAAGGTAAAAAAAAAAAAAATCTCACTTGGTTTGAATTCTGCGAGAATAACTTCTGGTTGAGTTTTGATTGTTATTGAAGCACTTTGGAGGAAGTTTGAGCAGTAAAAGACAGAGTTGTAAGCTTATTAGAGGGTAAAAGCCAATTGTGTGATTCCAAGCAAACTTTGTGAGGCAGAAAATAAAGTGAGGGTTAAAATGTCGGAAATGATGTTTAGGCGATCTGAAATGATGATTGAGAAGATGGAAAATAAGATGGATATGATTGATTTGAACTTGAAAAGTATTTGTAGGGATCAATGTGATGAGGGGTTCAATGTGAGGAGACAGGAACCTAGGATAAACGTTTGTGATGCATACGAGGATGTGTGTGACATTGATGAAGTATGGAGATTGAAGAAGAGAGGCGATACGCATGGGAGAAGGGATACAAATTATTATAGGAGAGATTGGCGGAAAGTCGAATTCAGGGAGAAGTCTAGGAGATGTTATGGGATTGAGGATCCAATGGAGAGGAAAACATCATTTGCTAAGTGTATGGGTAGTAGATCAAGTAAAAGGATGGGGTTGGATTATGGGCAGGAATTGGCTGAGATTCGTGAAATGATTAAATCTCAAATTGATCATCCGAAGGAGCGAGAGAGTAAAAATAAAAATAGTGGGGTGATTAGATGTGAGAGAAAAGAAGAGAAGCCACAAGAAAATGAAAAGAACGTCGAGGGTGAAATTGAAAAGGATGAAGTGGTTAAATTAGAAGTGGAGTCATGAGATGAAAATGAAGTAGAGATTTTGGAGATCGAAAAGGAGTTAGGAGTGAACTTGCATGAAGAGGAGGTTAAAATTGAGGAGGTGTTGGAGAAAACTAATATTCCCCTCCCTACTTTTAATAATTCTGTTTTGCAGGTTATCGGAGATTTGATTCCAGAAAATAAATCGATTGAAATACCACCCGACCCGAGAATTGAACATCAACTTGTGCATAAAATTCAGCAACCATGCCTTGCTTTGGAGATAGCATATTTATCGAAAGTAGAATTTGTTATACCCGAGGAGACGAAGGAATTTCAAATGCATTGGACGGGATTTATGTGCAAGGATTTCATATGCCATGGAGTGAACTACAAAATTGAAGTGTCAAGAAAAATGCATCTAGTTGAAGTGACAGTGCTACAGTTTCTTAGGCCGAGTAAGACATGGAAAATGCATAGTGACTCATCACATGAATTTGTTTTGGGATTATAGAATGTTTATAACAACTCTCAAACTTAATAATATTCATTTACACTCGGAAAGTGGTACGCAGCGATGATTTTAATATAATGGACGAAAATGATTTATATAATTAACTTTTAATTTATTAGGAATAAAGCTTAATTTTCTTGCTCATACACTATCTTAAATAATCTAATATAACAAACACGCATGAAAAGTTGGAAAGCAGTAATTGTAATTTTACTGCCTACGTTCATCAGTCCTTATTGGCGCATGTGGTCCGTGCTTTTACGAACACTGGAACATGAAATTATCACAGATTTTTACGTGCAATGAAAAGGCGACCAAATATGATTATTTATTGAGAAATGGGCACAAATGGTCCTAAACCTTTGTCCAAATTTCATTTTGGTCCAGACTTTTCAAATGTTGCACAAACTATTCCAAAACTTTATAATTTTTGGCACAACTGATCCTTTTGGATGAATTATTGCTCTAACTTTTTAGTTTATTGAAATGGACAAAATTTTCAAATCAAAACTAAAATATGTAATAATTCTTGAAAGAAAGATTTTCAATAAAAAATTAAAATACAAATATCTTCTTCTTCCACCCATGACCCACCCTATCCCCAACTAACTCACCCACCTTGCCAAACCACACCAACCGCCACCGACGTCACTAGTGGCCAGCCCCAACCATGCTGCGAACACCAAGAGAAGAAGAAGAAGAAGAATATGTACAAAAAATAAGCATTTTCCTATCTGCTTCTTATATCCATGAAGATTGTGACCTATCATCGGAGGCGTCTACGGTTGGTGGTGACCATTTGTGATGGTAGGTGTGCATTTTTTAAGAATTTATTTTTCCTTATTTTAGTTTTGATTTGACATATTTGTCATTTTCAATAAAAAAAACAAATAAGTGCAATTGGAGCTCACCACAAGATAGCTCTTTCCTTTGATTCAAGTAGCATCAAATAGCTCTCTGTTCCCTCTTTGCTCTAGCATATTCTTTCATTTGTCTTTCACCTCCAAGCACTTCCAGTAGAGTTGGTAATTCAATTGGGGTTCTCGGGCCAACTAACATCCCTTCTGTACAGAATCCACCCAAAACGACTATATGTGCCAAAAATGCAAAGTTAGGGACATTGCTACATCACATTTAAAATATTTGTATCAAAAATGCAATTTCGACAAAATTTAAGACCATTTGCACCAATTTCCTTTACTCCCTCCACCAAACCCATCGCCTTTGTTGGATTTGTTTAAAGAATGTCAGCTTTTGGGAGAGTACAATTATTTGGTCTTTATTATGGGAACTATCTCTTGCCATTGTTCGGCAGACACATCTTGATTTTTAGTGAGCGTTTGGCCCCCTTCTTTTCCAAATTTTAACATTTGGAATAATGTTTTATTTATTTATTTTTTTATGTGATTGAAAAAGAACGAAAATTGAAATTTCTTGCCATTGTTCGGCAAACACATCTTGATTTTTAGTGAGCGTTTGGCCCCCTTCTTTTCCAAATTTTAACATTTGGAATACTTTTTTTTTTTTATGTGTGATTGAAAAAGAACGAAATTTTTTCAATTTACGTATAATATTATTTTATAAAAAATTGTGTAGTTGAAAATATAAAAGAAAAAAAGTGAAAGAGAATGAGAGACAAACGGCGACTTAATTTTTTTTGGTCAAGATTACCCCACCATCTCATTCAAAAGTTTGATGTTAGGGTCCACCATTTTAGGGATAATTTATTATATACATTTTAAAGAAAGCTCTATCAACAGAACAATCATTATATTCTTGAAAACCTGCTCATCTTTTGTAAAGTCATGTATCTTAAATTCTTATGCTAATTTAGATAGATAAATCAATAGTTCAATTCAAAGCTTAAATTCTATGATCCAATATCACAATAATCAAAACAATATACATCAGTTTGTAGATATATTGTTGGCCAAACAAGAAGATACTGTTAGGTTATTCAGACATCCAAAATTTGACTATTATTTAACAAATTTGAATGTGTGCATACTTTTCTCGAGAAAATTCATGCGTGTAAAATATAGCTCCTTATACGAAAGAATATATAGCATAACTAAATGTCTCAAGGAGAGTGATGTTATTCATAGTCAGCGACTGCAGTAGTCAAATTATGTGACAGCTTGTTAAAGTAACAGAATTATAGAAAATTAATGTCTCCAATAACAGAATGCCACATAGGATGACCTATTACAGCCACCGGCTATGTATAGAATTACTCAATGCCTAGCCTAGAGTAAAAAGTGAAGCCGAATACACAATTAAATACATGTAGGTATTTAGCTTGCAATAGCACTTCATTGAGGTTTCTTCAGCAACAAAGGTTAAGTATGGAATCTAATTGAGGTTTTTTAAATGGAAGCTTCCTTCAACAACAATTACACGTGATAAATATCACCATTGTCAAATTCTCATATTATTTAATCACACATAACTTTTGTAGGCCGGCAGCTATCACATACACATCAAGCCTACTCATATGGCAGTTTAATATAATGAAATTCAAGAGATAAATCCAAAAGTCAACCATCGAACCAAAGAAGATACCCTTAATTTACGAACAATGGCGAGGAATCAAACCTCCTTCAAGCATTCATTATTGCTGGTTGGAGATTNAAAACTTGATAGTCTTAGTTTGCAGAAACAATACTGCACGCAATATAATAGAACATGGTAGAGCTGATTGTTTATATTCATACTATAAAAACAAAGAAAAATGATGAAGTCTAACAAAACAAATTCAGAAATAAGTGCAAAGTAAAAAAATTGATTCCAAAAAATGACGAGAACTCGAATGAAAAGAACTTAACAAGTAAACAATTTCTAGTTAAGAGCATCCACCAACCCATGAAATTTCTCTATTTTTTTCAGCTAAGCCACTGCCAATCTACCTTCCACTCTGGTAATCACTCGCTGTACTCGACATTTTACCAATCAGTATTAAGTTATCAGATGTCAGATAATCCACCGTGTGCAGAATATGAGATCTGAACTCAATCAAGCCCTTCGTGACAAGTCATCAACTTTTCCAGATTCAAGTAAGAATGACTTCGGACTCGTTTAATTTGTACAAGAAAATATGTTGCAAATATGGGAAGCTTATAATTAAATTCGCAAATAATACTATACAGTACAATTGCAACATAACCCCAAAATAAATTGGAACTGCATCAAGAAAAAATCATAACAAGACATGGGTAATAAAACCCAGAGCTTCAGCATGCTCTCTCCTAATACAATAGCCACACGAGGGACTTACATATGCATGAACACCTGCACAAACAGGGAATTGTTTATGCATATGAGTACATTACCAATCAAAACATATAGGGTTTTCCATATAGAACTACTCAACAAAGAAGGAACAAATTTTCTATTCCCATTACAATAAGCCATAACAAGAGACTAAGACCTCATATGTATTCTATTATTATTAGACAATCTGCAAGAAAGGACCAACATTTCTCCTCTATGCCCCAATTCTTTGTACAACAGTCTATTGTCTGACAACAAAAAACATTATAAAACAAACAAAAACAAAAACAAAAACCCAACTCACCTCCAAAAGATATTTCTAGTGACAAATTGGAAATCTATGGCAAGATAAAATCTGGACATAATGCAGACATCTTGCACTTCACTTAACCGCACCCTTAAACTTTGATGAGATCATGTAATTCTTTTTCTTCCTTGCAAAACTTGAATGAGAGTTTTTGCATTCCTTCTCAACTTCTCATTATCATCCTCCAGTAAACCAACACATATCTCAAATACACCTAATTTTAGAGCCTCCAAACACATCTTTTCACTATAACTACACAAAGAACTCATAGTCAACAGGGCATATTGCACACCCCTTGAACTCCCATTTCTCAAAACCTCAATCAAGATATCCAAAAACCTGTCAAATCTCATGATTTCTTCTCGGGCCAATCTGCATTTTGCCAGAAGACCCAAAACTTCTACTGCTCGCTCCAGGCCTGAATTAGCATTGTGGATTAATATGGGAACGGCATTACTCCGTACAGCCCGAATACGGTTGTCGGGGAATGAGCAGAGAGTGAATAAAGCCGTGGCTGCTTCTTTCCTCTCTCTTGAATTTCCTGCGCAAAGCAGAGCTAGCAAGCCAGGAATGGCATCCGGGTAGGACCCAATCGTTACAGTGTTAACCTCCACCACCGCCAGGCTCGTAAGAACCGTGGCCGCCATCGCCCGCGAGTCTCCAGCGCCGCATCGTAAGGCGGATACCACCTTTCCAATGACGCCCTCCGCCACCAATCCCACCTTGTTGTCATCATCTAAGCTAAGGTTCAGTAGCAAGTGCAGGGCCTTCTCCTGGAGCCCTGACTCGCTCGAGTTGACGCAGTCCAACACGGCCGACACAGCCCCCGATTCAGTCAGCCTCCGGCGAATCCCCGAGTCGCGTTTAGACATCCGGCTCAGCTGGTCAAGCGAATTCAGCTTGGCGTCCAAAGGAGACAAAGAAGAAACAAGGGTTTGAATCAGATTTTGCGGGTTGGAAGGGCAAGGCTGGGGTTTAGGCAACGAAACAAGAGTATAGTTGGAAATGAGGCTCCTTAAGGCGTGGTTAGGAATTAGCGTAGGGGGTTCCGGCAGCGGCAGTTTACTAACCGGGCAGGTCCGGTGGCCTGAGTCCAACCACCGTTGAATTGAGATCCGATCAAAGGTTTGACCCGACGAGAGGATAACCGGGTCGGACATTATCTCAAGTGAAATAGGGCATTTGAAGTCATCCGGTAACTGGCTGGCCATTCTAGATTTCTCTCTCCACAAGTGTTTACGACGTGTTCAAGTGAGGGTTGGAGGAGCGTTTTATTTACACCTGTGAGCCGTGAGGATTAATAATGACGTGCATTGAGCTCTGCACTTGCTTGCCACACTGCTAACTAATCCACTCAAATGACATTGTTGCCCTCTAAACACATAAAACCTAATTGGGCAAAAGAAAATTATACAATTTATATTTGTATATAAATTAGTGTTATGAAAAGCTGTCTAAGAAATCTTTAGGCATCGATTAGACGTGAGGTTTGAACGAAAATGAGAGCCTAGAAGCACTTTATTAATTTATTTTTTTCACTCTTTGAAAATCTTTTATTTGACTTTAATTTTAAATTTTAAAATACTTTATCTTTATGAAAGTAAAAAAAAAAAAAAATACGCTAGAACATTTTCGAGCAGGACTTGTCTAGTTGAAGGTTGAAATTCTGAAAAATAGTCTAATTTTTGCATTTCAAAAACTTAGAACTTGTATTATTGACAATTGTAGAAATTATTAAAGAAATATAGTATTTTATAATTTTAGATGTTTGGTAAATATTATTTTAATTATTAAATAATTTTTAAAAA